TAAGCCTCTTCTTTCACTACCGACGTGACCAGATCTTTTGTGGTGAGGTAATCACCCTCCGGAACCGATCTTATGGCTTCGTCCAGGCTCAGATAGAACTCGTCCTTATCACTTTCGGGGCACCGGCTTGCGGTGCGTACACGGAGAGTATGGTCCAGTACCCTCCTTCGTGTCCATCCTCACAGCCATGATCCGATCGCTGATCCTGTTCACAGCGGAGACATAGTCCTTGAGCGACTCCGCTACCGCTATGGCCACGCCGTTCCGCTTGGTGTCTTCTCCATTGTAGTAGAGTTTGACACCTTCCCCGATTTCCCTGGCCTTAGCACCTTTCCATCGCGTCTCCTGAAGGCATAGGACTTGGATGTTCTTGCGCGTCATCAGATCAGCAACCTCTCGAGACTTCTCCAGTCAGCGCACGTTTAGACTTCAAATTGAAGTAGTTCGTTTTCCGAGATCATTGAGCGGTAGCCCTCGCTTCCTGGCCTCGTGAGGTTCTGCGCGCCTCTTCTAGGTGACGTCCTAGCATTAACACTAAGTGGGATCGCCCATAAAAATCGCCGAGTCTGGCGGACATCTGAACCTTGACAGGGATCGAACTCGCGGCTCTTAGAGGTGCAAACATCATCTCACACTCATAACCACTCAGCTGTTCCTGTCTTTTGGTGATAGTAGAGCCCGGCGGGGAAATATTGTGATTTGAACTATTATTAAGCATAGATTAACAGAATTGCTCGCAACTTCTTGCCTGTGTAGGCTTTAGATACGTTAAAGTGGTTGCATATCCAGCTTTTCTGGGCTCTGAACGAAGTGTGAGCCTTTTTGATAGTCTCATTGGTTTGATTTAGATGTGTTTGGTTCCGGTTTTCTCAAACGGTGGCGTCAACTGTTTTGCATAAACGCATGTTCTCAGCTGTTGTTAATACAAAGATCTCCTTCTTTGACAAAAATCCTATCGGTTAGTTCTTTTCTCCGGGTACAGTTTTCTGCTTTCAACATAATCCAAGTGTTTTTATAGGACGCATTTTGAATCGTTTCTCAAAAGATGTGGGTACAATGGATGACCAGTTATCATTCGTATTTTTCGAATTTCTAATGGTTAGTCCCTTCATCAGATCTCCATGGAGAGGATCGTTTCCCTCACTCCTTTCATGGCTTTTCCTTTCAGGGTGCACTGAATTTCTTCGGAATTATTTTTGTTATTCTTATTTTGAATCCAATTGTTTTCGTCCCTACATTACCACTTCTCATCCTCTTTTTCCTGCTTCGAGTTGTGTACCTCGCGTCATCACGTGACGTAAAACGTCTTGAAGCTACTAGTAAGTTTTTCTTTCCTCGTGGTCATCGGAACCACCTTAATTCGAGTCATAGTCTTCGTCAAGCAAAGAAGGAGGAAGTGATGATTTATTTCAGCTCGAAGTCCTCTCTATTCTCACATCTCTGCGTTTATGAATGGCTTGTACACTGTCAGAGCTTTCGGCAAGCAGAAGGAAGTTCTGCAGGAGTATCATCGTGCACAAGTAGGTGTTGTTATGCCTTTGATTGACATATTAATTTGTCAGTTCGATCTCTATTGTAATTTTGTTACAGAATGTAAACACTGCTGCTTTCGGGCTCACACTATCAACTTCTCGCTGGTTTGCCGTTTGTATCGACTGGCTTGTTGCATTGTTCGTTTCCGTGGTCGCATTCTTCAGTGTGAATAACACCAGGTAATTTGCAACTCCCATATACGATGACAAACTGTGCCTGACAACCTGTAGCTATCTCGAATGCTTCGTCTTTGAAGTTTTCTTCCGACTTTCTTTTTCTTGCGCTATAAATCCCGATCTGCTAACCTGGTTTTGAAACTTAAATTATTTTGTTTATTGTTTTTTTTTGTCGAAATTGATCTCAACAAAAATCTTTGGCACTGTAGCGGTGAGTGGCTTATGATTCCCGGCTGCAACTTACTTATTCTCCCTAGCGTTAGTCTCGCGCAGTCGGAAGGTCCGCTGCTTTTGTCAGTCCTCGCCACTTTGCTCTGCCTAGGACATCTTCTTCCATGGCCGTGACTTCACTTCCTCGCGGTCGTTTGCCTTGCTTCTTCGAAGTCCATCTCTTTTCATCGGATGGTCCTGTGGCCTCCTTAGCACATGCCCATACCATCGCAGACGCTGTTCCCGTACCTTCAGCTGGACAGGGGCAGTCTGCATGACCGCTCTGACATCCTCGTTTCTGACCCTGTCCAGCGCGTCCAGCCGCAGGCCCATCTCAGCGAGTGAAGCTGCCTTTCGTGGTTCTTGTTCAGGGGCCAGCACTCGCTGCCGTAGAGCATCGCAGGCCTTACCACTGTTCGGTACACCTTCCCTTTGAGCGTTCTGGAGCACCTTCGATCGCAGAGGATTCCAGTGGACTCCCTCCATTTCATCCATGCCGCGTCCTTGCCTTCACTGCCTGGTCCACACTACCGTCGGCGGCCAGATTTACCCAGGATATCGGTGATCTTCCACTTTTTCAATTCTTTCATGAACTCGAACTTTGCTGGAGGATCGGAACCAGTTCCCATACTTCGAGCCGACTGTTTCTGGGTATCGAACCAGCTCTCACACTTTCAAGTCGGCCAGTTGTTCGTACGCTCTGGTGTGAGCTAGTTCAACTGATCCCTGTGAAGTGGAGACTTCTCCGCATCCCCTTTTCATCGAAGACTAATTAACATAGCCATCGTTTCTCCAGGCGTCTTCATCTCTTTTTTACAGTTGTCTTGTTCAGGAATTAAGTGAGCCGCCTTATTCCGTGCTCTCTAAGCGCTTTCCAATCCTCTATAGGTGTCTCAGCTGGTCCTAACCCTTTTCTCACTTCATCTTCTTTAATTCTCCTCGTAGCACGTCTTCTATACGGCGAGCGGGGCACGAGCCTCGTGCCTCGGTCCGCGACTTAGCTGACAGTCGTGGATCAACTCTTCACTAAAATAGCAAACGTTGTCATAAAAGTGTTAGTTATGAAGGGAAAGCATAGAAATGGAGGCTTCCATGGTCTCGATGCTTAGAGGACGTAGGTCATGCGATGTATAGCTACCAACGTATTTTTAGTGGAATCGCAGAAGTGTTCTGTCTTGCTCCATCGGTGTAGAATTGTCATTCAAGAATTCAGGCTCTTATGCGACTCACCATCGTGAATTGAGGCCGGCGATGATGGCTATTGTCTGCGCCGGGGAGTTACGGCAACGCTCGAGTGTTATTATAAAAATAAAATTAGTAAAATAATACCTAATAATTGAATATAAAAGCAGATTGTTGCAGGCGGTACCTCAGTCGCCAAAGATGCGTGGTTTCTTCCAATTTTGTGACATGAAATCAATCGGTGGTGAAGAGATTGTGCTGATCTTCGAGTTATTTAAGTCGTTTTGCTCCCCTTTCTTTTCACATAGATTATTACTAGCACCGAAAATTGATTCTTTCTTATTGAACGATGCAGCTATTATTCGCGATTTTGTACTTAACACCTTGAGCCACGCCAGCTCCAAATATGTTGAGCTGCTCTCTCGAGCGTCGCGACCACCTCTACGCCCTTATATATGGTTGGAAATCAAGATAGCAAGTTTTCCTTTTATTTCTTCTTTACCGCCCACTTTGATGTCAATGAGGTTTCTTACTTGCTTAGCATGCAATGGGGATTTTTCTTTTCAATTGTCTTTATAAGATTCTTCTGAAAAATTTTCGACTCCAAAATTTCTGCTCCAACGGGACCGCAAACAACGTCAAATTATTCTACGGTCATCCTACGAGTAATTTATTGGCCAGATACAATCAGATATGTGAGCTGCATTGGATATAGATGCATGGCTCCAAGTTTGCTAGCACAAGCAGGCAGCTGTAGTGTGAGCCATTCAGTTTGGTGTAAAGCGCGAGAATGCATGGTACAGTTCATACCTCACCGTCTGTTTAGCAACGGATTTCACGTGGCGGCGGTCTTACTTGATAGACGACGTGTGAATAAGCTGTTTCCAGTATGTTTCCTGATTTCCAGCGAAGTGTGTTGTAAATAGCTTCTCCACGCATTTTCTACTATCAAGCGCGGCGGCCGCCACGTCAAATCCGTAGCTGTTCGCTAGTCTAGAGGACTAATCATTCGAGCTACCTTGGTTGAATGCCTCAGCCGCACAGTGCAGTATCCTGACTCAGCATGCATTATAGCTTATCTAAGACCTACCCCGGGTAACTGCAGTATTTGGAAAATCCGTGTTAAGCTCGAGCGCCTGCTAATAGGTGGATGGCGGTGCTTAACCAGAGTAATACTGTGTGATTCGCGAAATCTAATTTCTCTACTGTTGCATACAAGTTGGAATTTTTCCACTTCAGCGTCGATGACTTCCGGAGAAGTGGCACTGATGTTGGTTTATGCTGTTCAGCTAACGGGTTTCTTCTCTTGGATCATGCGTCAGTCAGCTGAATTACAAAATGGAGTGAGTCTTGAGAGAGTCATACATGTTTTAGCATTCTGCACAGGTATTTTTCTCGTTTCTGTTCTCTTTTCTATTTCATTTTTAGTTTTCTTATCTCGCAATGTTCCATAGCAGTAATCTACAAGTGTTTGTTGGCTCAAGTGCAAAATCGCAGTGCTGCTAATGAGTCCATTGTGACGCGTAGCCAGTCAGCCTGGGTGACCTAATATTATTCGGGTACTCTCATTTTGGTACTTGCACAGGAACGGTTTTCTTGAGATTGCTAGTATTTTTGCGAATTGAATGCAGCCGACTTGACGTAGCACGGCATATGCTTCTTTCTAGGTGAGGTTAGACGGAGAAAATCAGGAGCTTTCTGGCTTAGGTACGATAAGCCATTTATCCATTCCAACCATTCATCCAATCCCATTCCCCTTTTTGTTATCGCTTGTATGCAGAATGAAGGAAATCCTAAACGTGCTTCTTCCGAGTGACTTTGTTCATTTATTGTAAGCCAAGAAATATGAATAAAAAGTATCTGGTTTACTGGTTTGCTCGTGCCCTCATAGATTTTCGGTCGCATTACATTTCCTTATCGGGGCATTATGTCTTTAAGATTGATGGATTTTATTGGTGGTTCCCTGAAGACTTTCCAGGTTATTTTCCTTTTTTTTGCAATGCTTGACATATGAGGTTGGTCAGGAAAGCCTCAGCGGCAATGTGATCCCTTTTGTGTTTATTTTCTATAACAGATTCAGATTTCAGTTAATGAAGGTGTGCACCAGCTCGGGGCAATTTCTGAGGTTATCCTTCTCAGACCTCGCCGCATCCACTTTGAAATCTCCGTAGCAAAAAGTCGAAGTGCTTAACGAAGCATAGCCAGTTTAGGCGGTAGGGACTCAAGGCAGTAATTAACGATAGTAGAGGATCGGCCATTTAGAATCTAGTAAGCGTTAGTAATGCCTTAAAAAAAGAAGCACGATGATACCCGGCGGAAGTTGGACTCTCTTTACGCGCGCTTATTGCGGTTAGGGCTATGTCTCATCGTTGAGCTGAAATCTTATCAGCGCCAGATGGCTTCTTTGCTGGGAGCGAGCGTTAAAGCAAACGTCGATAGGGTCGAGCAATTGAGATACATGTTTGGGACATGCGAACGGCTGCTCTCACAGCGCAAGCGGGACATGACCCTGTCACGGCGGCGGGAGCTCTCTTCGCGCCAGAAGACGTCTCTCTTTTGGGAAGCCGTCCTGCTTTTCGTTCCTTAGGTATATTCCCCTTTCTTTGACTTCCGTCTTCTCCTTCAAGGTATATCGGCCGGCTATAGTTCTCTAGTCTGGATTGCCATGCCGTGTAAGATTGTAATGAAGGATGTCAAACTCTCCTGGTACACGGCTGTCGGTGCGATTGGCGGTCTTGAAGCACTTCTGCGTCTGGTCTAATCGGAAAGGAGAAAAATCTAGACTTTCTGCTGTATGAAGGCATTTGGTGACAGCTTTTTGAAATCGCAGCTCATGCTCTGTCTGGACGTGAGAGCTTTACAAGCTAACCGAGTGTTTGCAGTCGATGCGGTAGTGATGGGGATTGCATGCAAGTGAATGCGCTAGCAAGTTAGTATTAGTTTTACCCCCCGCGATCGCAATATGAAAAAACGAAGATTGCCTGAGACTCAAAAGATGTATAAGGGTTTGTTCTGCTGGGAAGTTTCCATGGACCCAGTTGACATACTCGAAATGTTTGTGGTTTCTTGCGAATAAACAGGATAATCGGAAAGGGGGCAATGTCACTTGTGCCCATGGATGCAATCATCATATAGTTTCAATGTTCACAAAGAATCGGAACTGTTATGTATGTGGAGTTATTACGTGTCCGAAATATTCTAGAGGTCCCCCCAATAAGTATGTAATCAATCCCACCTTCGCTGCCTTCATCGTCAACTTAGCTAGACCTCGTTATTCGATTTTATTTCGACCAACACTAACCTAGCGAAATGCATTCAGGTCATTCCATGGTTGTTTGAAATGAGACCCAGATATTTCGATAGAGCTCAAACGTATGATGAACAGAATATTAGAAACTAGAACTTGCTAAATGTAATCGATTGCAAGGGAAGGTTGTAATGATGCAAAATCTATGAGATGTGGGCTGAAAGTGAAGCATTACACTAGTCCTCCCGTTTTTTTAAGGCGGCTGTTATTTATTTGACTGTTTCAAAGTCGCCATGTAGTAGTGACAGTCCCGCACTGACCGGAGATTTGCGCGGCGACAGACGAGATTATGACCGTCACAGGCTGGACAGCGACGGGGCACAACAAACGTGCTCCGCGAGCGAGCTGTGAGCCCGAAGCTTGCGAATGCAATTGCTGCACGTCTTCTGACTCTTCACAACTTGCCCTTGGCAGTGTTCATTATTGCAGTTTAGTTTTTCCATTAATTTGAATACAGCGTATTGCAAGCTCTATCGATATGATCTGGGTTCTCATTTCAAGTTCCTAATGGGTGGGAACTGATCCTTTACCTGGTAGGTGTCTGTTTTTCCGGTTTTGTGAAAAGTAATTGCTTGTAGGTATTCACGCGTGCTCTTGCTAAAAATTTACTTCACACGGGTAAATATATTTGTGCAATTTCATCTCAAATTTTAATCATATTTGGCGCACAAATAGGTTTTCGAAAGCAAATATGCATTTGGAAAGTGGCAGTTTGAAAGGAGAATTTCTTTTTTTAATCAGCTTCGTTTGTTCATTTCTTATTTGACGCTTGAGCGCTGAATTGTAGATGGTTTCTGTCGAACGTATCGTCCAGTATACGGAGCTGGAGTCAGAGCATGATAGTGTCGCTCCATTTACTGACGTACCGAAGTCGTGGCCCACCGAAGGGCACATCACAGTATGTTTTAAAGAAATACCCTCACTCTTTGTACCAGATGGTTTGCTTATTCCAATTTGCAGATTACAAATATGTTCCTGAAGTACGATGAAAGTGAAGATGGTGAATTTGTGCTAAAGAACATATGTCTGGATATTAAACCGAGGGAAAAGGTACCGTCACATTATCTGAAGCTATATTTTAGATATAAATTTTTTTTATTAGATTGGTATCGTTGGTCGCACTGGAGCTGGCAAATCTTCACTGCTTCGTGCGTTGTTCCGTCTTACCCCTCCAGTATCAGGAACGGTGATGATTGATGACGTGAATACAGCACTAATACCATTGAAGACACTTCGTCGTGGAATAGCCATTATTCCGCAGGTAGAACGATTTTCAACTGATTTTGTTGAAAATGTATGTGCGAAAAAAGTTGTCGTGCTTTTTAGGAACCCGTTCTATTCATTGGCAGCTTACGTAGGAACCTCGATCCATTTAATCAGCACAGTGATGAAGAACTTTGGAAAGTTATTGAACAAGTGCGTAGTCTTTTTTGTACCCGCGTTGTTTCCGCCATACAACTGACATTTTTTCAGGTGGAGTTGAAATCGGCGATAGCAGAACTTAGTGGAGGTCTGGAGGCATCTATGCATGAAGGCGGAGTGAATTTTTCAGTGAGTTCCCTATATTTTACTTTAGTTTGGATGTCGCATTCAGTTATAGTAGTGCCTTCACTTGTTACAGAACTATGTATACAGTGTTCGCTGTCTAAAAAGTCAAAGTTGAAAGTGTGAAGCTTTTGGACGTGCGTGGCGCCCTTATTAGACATTCTTGGGTGAAAATGCCCATGATCGCTCATACTGAAACTGCATTTCTTGCTCTAATATTCAGTTCATTACTGTTAAGAGGAGGTCAGGTAGGCCTTATCCGAACGTAGTCGATGTAGAGGGTTATCTCTCCAGTGAATCGAGCCATGCAGTGAAAAATAACGTAGGGTTGACTGCTTTTTGATCAGCTCGTTGTTTCTCGGCTCACGTGGAGCCTATCACAGTCACTTCTGCAGCTTCAGTATTGTTGTGCTCCTATAACAGCCTTATTGGTCATGGAACGGGACATCGCTCATGCCGCTTCTAGACATTGATTGACCTGATCACAAATATAACGCTGAAATACCCGTCAGACTGGGCGATTGTGCAGTCGTTCGGCGAGCGCGATCGCTTATCGCCGAGTCTGACGGGCACCTAATTTTTGATGTCGCCGCTTTTTTTTAGCGGACTCCTTGGGTATTTGCTTACGTGTAATGGTTATCTGGTCTCACGAACAAGTATGTCTTCTTTAACCCAGACTCTGCCAAATTTTTATGAAGAGGAAGTTATGACGCTGGCTGGCGCGTCATGAGTGTTAACTTGGTGGATGTTTATCGTAAAACCTTTAGTTGTATTGTTAATGCAATGAATTTCATAGCAAACACTTGTGGCCCTCTGTTGATAATCAGGATTCTCAGAATTAGTTTGCCTGATCAGACGGATGAAATTTCAATTATAGAGAAGTGGCTTGGAAAATAATGGTTTACCTGACATCACCCCGCTGCATTGTAGCACAGCACTGTCCACGGACTTCAGGACATCTGTCAACCGCGAGCCTTGGCGGTTCAGCGTTTTGTAGTGATGTCTGGGAGCTCTCACAAGTGCACACTATCACAGCATCTCCTCTTTCTTATCTTCTTCAAAAGGCTTAGTCCCAATAAGACACAAAGTGTGTGCTTTTCAGCTACGCTCTCACCCTTTGGTTGACAGAAACCTTGTAATGCACTTAGTCCACAGGTGTCTGATGCATTGTTGTTCGTCTACTTCTTAATTATTCTCCTCGAATGCCCTGCGGATGCATAAGGGCACATACGAATTAGAGTACAGGGGTTTGAATCTTTAGGAACTAAACGCCTGTGGAAGGTGGAGAGACTCAGCGAAATAACGCAAGATGTTCAAAGGGGTATTTGAGCTCAAGTATGTCCGTCGACCATGCGTTTTTTGCGAACTCAGAATGGAAGTTGTCAGCTGCGAACACAGACAGAAAAAAAATTTCGAATGTGTTTGCATATTTTGCTATTCGCCTAGCGTGCATCTTTTAGGTTGGTCAGCGACAACTGGTATGCTTGGCACGTGCGCTACTGCGCAATTCACGAATTCTTGTCATCGACGAAGCAACTGCTAATGTGGATCCACGGTGAGCTTAAGATTTGAATCGTATAGATGTTCTTACAATTGACATTTTTTAATTTCAACAAGTACTTGATCGGCCTTATTCAACGTACTATAAGGGAAAGCTTTTCGCATGCAACCGTATTGACAATCGCACATCGCTTGAACACCATCATGGATTCTAGTCGTGTTCTTGTTAAGTTCAGCTGCTCATTATGTAAACTCATAACGAGCGAAATGAGTACTTTCAGGTGTTGAAAGATGGTGAAGTGGCTGAATTTGGACCTGCATATGAGACTTGCAAGCATCGACGCGGGCACTGTGTCACAAAAGCTTGGCTGGAAAGAACCAGGAAAGCAAAAGGCTTGCTCGACAAGGGTAGTGTCTTCATTTTATGTTAATTTGATTATCTCAAATTCAACATTAGTATTCCATCAGCCGCTCTATGCGTATGCTGTCCTCGGTCTGAGGAATGGGTAGGTCTTTTCATAGGTCTGCGGTCCGTGCCGTCCGCGCCGCCACGCGGACGGACAGGGTGAAAAACGTCAACACGCGCTCCGGCGCACAATGCGCACTTGGCGCGCAGTCGGCGCCTCCCTCGATCGATAATGCTGATTTCGACACATTTTTTCTGTATTTTGACGTTTTGTGCGCCGTTTTGCTTTTTCTTGCGGTTGCTTAGCCCAAAACTTTTCCTTTTTTGTATGGATTACTGCTTTTGCTCACTAATGAACCCACTTGGTGCTTATTGCCACTTTCAAACACAGTGTATGAACCTAACCATTCTAGGACAGTTGAAAAGCAGTGATTCACACAAAAAAGAAAATATGTTCTCGCCAAAAAAAAACAAGCAAAAGCAGGTCGACGCCTTCCAGTTTATAAATGCGATTTCATCACATTCTATTTGTGTTTTCCTGGTGCTCCTTGTGCCGTGTTGCTTCTCGTGTTTTTTGGCGAGAACCTTTTTCTTTTTTGTGTAATCACTGCTTTTCAACTGTCCTAGAATGGTTAGGTTCAGTTTGAAAGTAGCAATAAACACCAAGTGGGTTCATTAGTGAGCAAAAGCAGTAATCCATACAAAAAAGGAAAAGTTTTGGGCTAAGCAACCGCAAGAAAAAGCAAAACGGCGCACAAAACGTCAAAATACAGAAAAAATGTGTCGAAATCGGGCGACGGACTTTTGGCTCGTCCGGGTTGGCACGCGGCAAATTGCGCGGCGAGCGGCGCGGCGATCCCGACGCATCGCGGGAATTCAACACGTCAACGTGTGAAGATTGCGGATAAAATCCGCAAGGTTCTGCAATTCGAAATGCATCTGAACGGCTGGAATTTTGAGGACAGCGGTGGTTGTAGCAATAGGAAGAGATGAGAAGGAACTAGCATAGTGCTGTTATGGCAATCAGGGCGGTCATGTTGTTGGGGGGACGTTCCATTTGGGGGATGTGAGTGAGACAATTACTGTGTTTGGGACCGAGACTTAGGGAGGAGAAGGGATTCTGGGGGATAGAGCTACCCTAGGACCAAGCCCAGCAGAAGGGTTCCCTGGCGTTCTTCCCCTCTGCTGGGCTTAGTCCTAGTGTCACCTACCATCGACCCTGTTTTGTTGTTTTGTTTTGAATGTTTCTCCTGGACGAGCGCCTCGATCAGCAAAACATATATAGTTGACATTAAACCTCAACAAGAACTCCCATTTTAGTGACTCTTATTTGCTTTGATGGTAGTAGTTACATTTACATGAGGGTCCTCACTCATCTCTTGCGCTGAAATCTCCTCACCGATACTGCTGCCTCCAATCCCCGTGAGCGGAAAGATTTTCAAACAGCAGAACCATGCGGAGTTTATTCGCAATCTGCACACGCATTAACGTGTTGAATTCTACCCGAAGAACCCGCGAAGCCTTGTCCCGTCCAGATCGCCGCGCGTGCCGCCGCGCAACTCGCCGCGTGCCAGTCCGGACGGACGAGCAAAGTCCCGCACCCGTCGAAATCAGCATTATCGATCGAGGGAGGCGCCGACTGCGCGCCAAGTGCGCATTGTGCGCCGGAGCGCGTGTTGACGTTTTTCACCCTGTCCGAGCCGTCCGCACGGACGGCGCGGACGGCACGGACCGCAGACTATGAAAGCAGCCTTAGCGCTCTCTGATTTCTACTAGTCTTTTCCCTGAAACTTTTGTCCTAAAAGGGCTAATTATACGGCAACCTGTGTGCAAGATTGAAGTGTGCTGGAATAAAAGGAACGCTTTCATAAAAAATGAATAAACTCGAGAGAATCTCCTAACCTACCATCCGAGCTGGAGAAGAAGAAAACAACCTTCCCAGTATCGATCCTCCATATAGCCTTGGTCAATTACTGTAAACATATAAACACTCACATGGATGTTCACCTCCCCCCCCCCCTTACGACATGAGCGCTGTAGGAGCTTTTTTTTTAGAACTGCTGGGGTGGCTCTGGTGTCAATTTTCGATATGGTCATGGTTGTTAATGGCCGAAAGAAGGATGACCTCAACCGTGGATGTATCCTTGTTATGTTTTATTTGCAGATGGCGGAAGAGACTTACCATCAGTCGCCGAAGTAGTGGAGGGCCCGAAAAAGGTCACGGATTTTCATGTTTTTTTTTCGTTTTTCTGCTAGATTTTTCTATTCATTTTTTCGCACACATGATGAGCTATTGTTGTTTTGTTAGTTGCGATTTTGTGTTGATAATTAATCTCTACATTTACTACTTAATTATGATCATAAGTATTTACGCATAATCACGTGATCCCATTCATACTTCTTGTCGTTTCCTTCATATGATAACCATGGCATTAAAAACGATTATCAGCGGGTTTTCGCGCGTTATTTCTGATTATGCGGACCCTTTGGAGAATTTTCGAACAACAAATCTATAGATAGTCTTCGAAAGGAATTAGAGCGCTCGCTTCTTCCTGGTAGCTGAACAGCGATCGGTAGCGATGCGGCCAATACACTAGTGTTGGAAAATATGGGCACTCTAGCAGTGCGTGGTGCCGTGCTATAGTATTTTCGAGGAGAACATGAAGTTCCCTAACCCTTTTTCCTTTGCTGCTGTGAGCGCCCAGTGAATTTAAGGATTTGCTTGTTCGGTGAAGTCCGTGAAGCTTTTCGCAATTTATAATCATGCGCTATCACAAGATACGGGACGAGGGCATTATGATGTCAACGCATTCAAAACCTCGTCAAACATCTCTTAACGGGGCTAAGTCTTATTGTTAGGCGAGGATGAGGGACTCCAGGATGCGCCAGCAATTTTTGTTTTCTCCGAAATTCCTGCATCGTTCTAGACTTGGTCCTGAAGGATGCCCCCGTACCTTACGATACGCCCATAATCATTTTAGGTCATAACGGTTCCATCATAATACTTTGTCATAAGATTTTTTGTGCTTTCTTTATGTGCAATCGCATAATCCCATTTTACCCTGTTTTCTTTTCCA